AACATGTTAAATCTACATTTACTTTATAACTTATAAAAGTTTTTTTGTTGTTGATTTCTAATTTTGTTCTGTGGTGGTCAGGAAAGATACATGATATGATTTTGATTTTTTTTTTTAAATTTGTTGAGACTTGTTTTGTGGCCTAATATATAGTCTACCCTAGAGAATGTTCTGTATGCTATGATAAGAATGTGTATTTTGCAGCTGTTGGATGAAATGTTCTGTAAATATCTGTTAGGTTCATTTGCTCTGTAGTATTCTTTAATGTTTCTTTCTTGATTTCTTTCCCCAAGTCATCTGTTCACTGAAGAAAGTGGAGTGTTGAAGTCCCCCATTATTGTATCAGAGCTTCTCCATTTAGATCTAATAATGTTCATTTTGTAAAATTAGGAGCTTATACATTTATAACTGCCTTGTCTTCTTGAGCTGAATACTTGAAAATTATATACTGAACTTGGCCGGTGCCACGGCTCAATAGGCTAATCCTCCACCTTGTGGTGCCGGCACACCAGGTTCTAGTCCCAGTTGGGGCGCCGTATTCTGTCCCGGCTGCCCTCTTCCAGGCCAGCTCTCTGCTGTGGCCAGGGAGTGCAGTGGAGGATGGCCCAAGTGCTTGGGCCCTGCACCCCATGGCAGACCAGGAGAAGCACCTGGCTCCTGCCATCGGATCAGCGTGGTGCGCCGGCTGCAGCACGCTGCTGCGGCAGCCATTGGAGGGTGAACCAACGGCAATGGAAGACCTTTCTCTCTGTTTCTCTCTCTCTCTCACTGTCCACTCTGCCTGTCAAAAAAAAAAAATTATATACTGAACTTAACTTTTTACAGTTTTTTTTTTACCTTATTTTCCTTTTTTTTATTTAGTAAATATAAATTTCCAAAGTACAGTTTATGGATTAATTGCCCCCCCCAATTTCCCTCCCACTCGCACCCCTCCCATCTCCTGCTCCCTCTCCCATTCCATTCACATCAAGATTCATTTTCAATTATCTTTATATACAGAAGATCGATTTAGTATATATTAAGTAAAGATTTCATCAGTTTGCACCCACACAGAAACACAAAGTGTAAAAATACTGTTTCCGTACTAGTTATAGCATTACTTCACATTGGACAACACATTAAGGACAGATCCCACATGAAAAGTAAGTACACAGTGACTCCTGTTGTTGACTTAACAATTTGACACTCTTGTTTATGGCGTCACTAATCTCCCTAGGCTCTAGTCGTGAGTTGCTAAGGCTATGGAAGCCTCTTGGGTTCGCCAACTTCGATCTTATTCCAACAGGGTCATAATCAAAGTGGAAGTTCTCTCCTCCCTTCAGAGAAAGGTACCTCCTTTCTTGATGGCCCCGTTCTTTCCACTGGGATCTCACTCGCAGAGATCTTTCATTTAGGTCTTGTTTTTTTTTTTTTTTTTCCTCCCCAGAGTGTCTTGGCTTTCCATGCCTAAAATACTCTCATGGGCTCTTCAGCCATATCTGAATGCCTTAAGGGCTGATTCTGAGGCTAGAGTTTACAGTTTTTGTCTTGACAACTGTTTTGTCTGATGTAAGTATAGCTACACCTGCTTGCTTTTTATTTCTTTTTGTATAGAATGTCTTTTTGCATCCTTTCACTTTCAGTGTGTGTTTGTCTTTGGTGACAAAGTGAGTTTTTTATAGTCATCATATTCTTAGATCTCTTTTTCAACGTCTGTTCAGCTGATGTGTACCTTTAATTGAGGAATTTATTCCATCTGTATTCAAGAATATTATTGATAAAAAGAGACTTATTCCTGCCATTTTGTTAGTTTTCTTCTTTTTGAGTACCTTATGTTCTTTTCTTTTTCCCTTGTTTATTTTGTGGTTTACTGTATTGATAAGGTTTGATTCTTTTTTTTTTTTTAAAGATTTATGTATTTTAAAGAGAGAGAGAGAGAAAGATTGAGATTGAGATTGAGATGGAGATCAGCTAGTTTGCTCCTCAGATGGCCACAACAGCCAGGGCTGGGCCAAGCAAAACCAGGAGCTCCTTCCACATCTCCTACATGGGTGGCAGGGGCCCAAACACTTGAGCCATTTTCTGCTGCTTTTTCCAGGCCATTAGCAGGGAGCTGGATTGGAAATGGAACAGCCAGGACTCAAACTGGCACCCATATGGGTTGCTTTACCCACTTTCCACCATGCTGGCCCCTCTTATAGGTTTTAAAATCCCTTTTCTTGTGCTTTCTTCAGTTTGATTATAACATGTTGTGGTGTTGTGCTATGGTGTCATATATATTGGGAGTCCTTTAGCCCTGCTGTACCTGGATGTCTATAAACTTCCCATGGTTGGAAGAATGTTTCAGCTATTATTTTATCAACTATGTTTTCAACTTTTTTTCCCTTTTCTTTGCCTTGTGGCACCCCCAAAATTCAAATATTTGTTAGTTTAGTGGTATTCCATAAACCTCAGGCTGTCCTCATTGTTTTTGCTTAGCTGTCTATCAGTCAATCATCTGGCAGGATATTTACAAAGACCTGTGTTCCACTTCATATGTTCTTTCTTCTACTCAATCTAACTGTTAGTCAAGCTTTCAAGTGTATTTTTTCTCTCATTTATTAACATCTTCATTTCCAAGATTTCTGTTTTGTTCTTTCTGGTGATCTCTGTGTCTTGCTAAAATTCTCCTTCATATTATTGTCGCTCCCCCTCTTCGTGGAGGAGCAACACTAAGCCCTGCCTAGGCTTCATATCCGAGTCACGGCACCATTATGTCGCTCCCCCTCTTCGTGGAGGAACGACACAGGACCCTGCGCTGTTCTTTCGTCTGCTCGGCCCTCCCCGGGTTTGCTGCTGGTTCTTCCCGGGTTGGCTACTATCCCTTCCACCTCCGTGGAAGGGCAGTTCCCCCTGGCCACATTCCCCACTTCCGCAGGGGAGCGGCACACCGGCTCTTCTCGGGGGCTGCACAGGTGTTCCCCTTAGATGTTCCCGGTGCATGCCGTCTCTCTCCTCCTTTAAAGTCCTCCTCCGCCAATCCCAACTCGGCTGCCCACACGCCGAGCACGCCGCTCTCCTCCAATCAGGAGCGGCTCCTGCAGCTTGTCAAGTTGGTGAGAGGCAGCTGGGTAGAAGCTGTTTACTCCCCTCCCAGAGCCATATTGTGGGAGAGCAGATGCATAGAATAAGTCTTAATTCCAGTAACAGTCTAGTCCGAGTTGCTCCCCACATATTATGAGTTGTTTTCCTAATTTTGTTAAATTATCTTTCTGTATTGGATCTCACTGACTTTCCTTAAAACGAGTCTTTAGTTTTATTAGGCATTTTGCCAATATCCTTTTCTTTGAGGTCTGTTTGATGATAAGTTGCTGAGCGAATTTTTAAATAATTATTGGTACTAGAGATTTTTTAAAAATTATTTATTTGAAAGAGCTACAGAGAGAGCAGGAGGAAGAGCAAAACAGAAGGAGAATCTTCCATCCACTGGTTCACTTGCCAGATGGCCTCAATGGCCAGAGCTGTGGCAGGCCAAAGCCAGGAGCTTCTTCTGGGTCTCCCACATGGGTCACAGGGGCCCGGGCCTAAGCACTTGGGCCATCTTCCACTGCTTTTCCCAGGCCATTAGCAGGGAGTTGCATCAGAAGTGGAACCTCCCGGGGCTGGCGCCATGGCGCAGTAGGTTAATCCTCCTCCTGCAGCACCGGCATCCCATATGGGCGCTGGTTCTAGTCCCAGCTGTTCCTCTTCCCATCCAGCTCTCTACTATAGGCTGGGAAAGCAGTAGAAGGTGGCCCAAGTGCTGGGCCCCTGCATTCGAGTGGGGGACCGGGAGGAAGTTCCTGGCTCCTGGCTTCAGATCAGTGCAGTTCCAGCTGTTGCAGCCATTTAGGGAGTGAACCAACGGAAGGAAGACCTTTCTGTCTGTCCCTCTCACTGTCTGTAACTCTGTCTCTCAAAAGAATAAATAAAATCTTAAAAAAAAAAAAAAAGGAACATCCCATATGGGATGCTAGCATCGCAGGTCTGGCTTTATCCAGTATGCCTCAGTACCAGCGCCTTAGAGAGATCATTTTTACCAATCATAGTTCACAGATGCAAATAACTTGATGTCTTAAACATATGCCAGAAAAATATTTTTAGGATTATAAAAGCAATCTCATCTTTGGAAGAAAATATTTCAGTTGATGAAGGTATCTGTACAAGTATCTATACAAGTTTCATTGAAAACGTGTTATGTTACCTATATATGTAGTATTAACTGGATCTATATCTTGATTCTAAAATAGAAGAAAATGTGGCTGATTTTACTACTTTTATCTAACAAAGCCTCACTTTAATATTATTTATTTATTTGAGAGGCAGAGAGACAGACAGAGGGCTTCTATCCACTGTGTCACTTCCCAATGCTTACATGTACCAGAATGGAAAAGCAGGAGCCCGGAATTCCATCCAGAGGCCTCATTTTTGAATGGCAAGGCCCAGCCACTTGAGGGACCACCTTCTGTCTCCCAGGGTGCTCATTAACAAGAAGTAGAATCTGAAATCAACCCAAGTATTCTGTGATAGGATTTAGGTGTCTTTAATCACTAGGCCAAATGCCTACCCCCCATCCTCGTTTTAAAAAGAATTCTGAAGATAAGTCTTACTGGTTAACTTACAGTTTCATGAACTTCACTGAACGCCGGGCAGAACTGGAGCTTGTGAGCCACATACACATGCTGTAGAAGAATCTTTATTTGTGTGGGTGTTTTGTTTTCTAAACTCCCCGAGCAGGCACACACCTGGATATGACTTGCACATACCTCTTGTAAGCCAATTTACATACTCACTCTTCCTGATCTTTCAGTTTTCTCTTTAGAGAACACTTCCTGAAAATGAGTTGGTAAACCTTACCTTTCTATATACATTATGTCTACATTTTTTGTTTTGCTTTGCCTGTGATATACTCCTGTCTTCATTAACTAAAAGCATTGTTTAATCAGAAGGTTGTTAGGTGGGTTCATTATTAATTTTCATCTCTTTTTCTTTTGGTTGACTAGATACCTGTGGAAGGGGGCCAGGAGCAGCAGGCAGACTCCACCAAAGGGCGGTGCCTCAGGAGAACTGTCAGCGTCCCTTCCGAGGGTCAGTTTCCTGAGTACCCACCAGAGGGCGCCACTAAACTGGGTAAGTTTAATAAAAGGAAAGAAAATCCTAGCTTTTATTGGATGATTTATGGACTTGTTAGTGACTATTACAGTAAAACAGATATCCTGCATTTCTTGTTAAGTAACTGTGTTGAAATCAGTGGCATGTTAACTCAGAGTTACCAGTCATTAGTGAGCCAGTTATTTTAACAGAGTGACAGCAAAGTTACTTTACAGAGATAGAATTTATGTGCTAATAAGTTTGCTGTTTAGTCTTGGCAGGTTGGATGACATGTTGTTTCTGGGATTATCGTTTGTTTCTAGGTTTTGAAAGAGCATTAGGTGATTTTGTTGAAATACTGAGATTTATAGAGGAGCCAGTATGTGTAGAACTTAATACTGAGTGGTTTAAATATCTCCTGTTCACATAGTTACGGATGTTGTCCTGTATAATGTAATGCCAGTTCAATCTAATTTAGCTAAGCTGATTTGGCTTCCCACGTAAGTTATATTCAGGGAAATGGTTGAAGTGGGTGATAGAAGGGAGAAATCAAAGAAGTCCCACTTCAGTTGTTATATACTAAAGGAATTCATGTCACTATCAAAGCAACAGACTCTTTCTATGTTTCCTACCGCCTGTGTTCTATTAGGCATTTTCATTTTTAGCAATGGCTATTTAAATAATTAGACATAATTAAGATTAAATAAAATAATGAAGGATTTTGAAATATAGAAAGTGCTTTGGTGCTTTACATTGTAGCATTATTTGCTTAGCAAAGCATAGACTTTTAGTCATAGACATTTGGTAGACAGAACAACATCATTTATTGTCTCCATGATGGTCAAAATGGATAGTTCTCTGATTTTGGTTGTGTTTTTTAAAATAAGAATTTGGTTTGGGTTTATTGGTTGTGTTTTTTGTTTGTTTGCTTTGCTTGCTGCTTTCTGCCTTTTTCTTTGTTTTCTAAATGGAACACTTGGTCAGAATTAGATTTTTTTTTCTTTTTCTTTAAACCTATAACAGTTGTTTTGTTTGCAGAATTAAGCCAAGTTAACAAATATTTTCTCTAAGGAGTCATATTTGAAGATGTAAAATTGTCAACTCACCTTATTTTTATTGTATCTCTTAGCATGTATTGAAACCAGTTTAGGTGTGTGCCTAAATTATCCAGAAAACCTGTCTGGGTGTAGCTATTTTATGGCCCATTTATACTTCACATACGTTGAACTGGCGTAGAGTCACCTTCTTTCAGGCCCTTTGGCTTCTTTATTTGTAATGTTCTGTTGATGGCTGCCTTTGCCATATCAGAGAACCTTTGGCTATTCAAGCTTTGACCCACAAAAGTCTGGATTTTGAGGAAGTGCAGTCATACTGTGGAGAATTATTATAGTGTAGTTACAGAAGGTAGAGTTACATAGCAAGTTGCTATCTCTCTACAATGTTCCATATTTTGGGCCCAAAACAAACTATAAAGTCTGGTTAGAGCCTATCCTGTCTTTGGTTCTTGACAAGTTTGGTGGTCATCCTGGCTCATGGCAGTTTATCATCATTTCCAGTGCCATTCTTCCTTACATGCCAGTCTTATCTTGAATTAGATCACTTTTTGTTGATTTGTTTTTATTTCCTAGCAATTTGTCTTTAGGCAAAATTTCCCGCTGGCAGATGTTGCCATATATGTAACATTCTGTGGCAGTCCCTAAGTATGAAAAGAGGTGTAAGATAAGACTTCAGCTTTCAGGAGTTTTATTTATATAGTTAGGATGATAGGATAAATACGTGTAGAAATAAAAATATAAATTAGTATACAAAAATCAGTTATATTTCTGGATTCCAGCAACAAACCAGAAATGAAAAAAATTTTAATATGCCATTTGTTTTAACATTACAGATAGCAAATTCCACAGATAGCAAATCTGTGGAAAATCTAATTAGAGATATGAAAGACTTGTATAGAGAGAATCATAAGAAGCAATTAAAAGAAAATTAGAAAATATTTAAATAAATGGAGGACTAAAGTATAACATTTTAGAGTCTATTTTATGTTATCTATTAGTTTTCTTTAAAATCAAAATCCAGCATGGTATTTCCTTTCCCCCTATACCTACACAAATTGGCAAGTTGATTCTAGAATTCATGTAGAAGTGCCTTAGACCAAGACTAGCAAAGGCAGATGAAAACAGAGAGAAGACTTAATCTAATCATGTCAGGGTCTATCTAAAAGGTTAAAGGAATATATTGGTGAAAGAATACGCAAATAGATCAGTGAAACACACTTGAAAGTCCTGTAGTGGACCCACCTCTGCACGGACACTGTGGGGCTTAGGGGCCCTGTAGTGCAGTGGGATAAAGGAAGTCTTTTTTATTTTGGTGCTGGGTCAGTTAGATTTCTTTCTGAGGTGCAAGGGAGAACTTGAGTCTTACCTTATACCATCCACAGACTCAGTTCCAAGTCAGGTAACACAATAAAGCTTCTAGAAATCATGCAGAAGGGTGTTTTTGAAATCTTGTATAGAAAAGGGCTCTCAAACAGAATGTTAAAAATCACAGAGTGGTACACAGTGTGTGATGCTGTTTGTTTAAAGCTCCTGGACACACAAACCTGAACTGTGGTGTTAGATGTCAGGATGGTGCTTGCTTTTTGGGAGGAGGCAAGAGGATTATGAAGGAGATTTCTGGAGTACTAGTGATGTTCTTCCTGTGACGTGTGCAGTGGTTGCGCAGGTGTGCCTACTTTGTGATGATTTATCGAGCTATACATGAATGATTTTGGCACTTTCTGTGTGTATGTTACATTTAAAGGGAAATATGGAGGAAAAAAGCCAGAAGCTAGGTCATACTGTCAAGTAAGTGATGTAAATTGAGTATCATGGTGGGCATAGTAAAGAATTAGGAATTATAGTCAACTTTATTGTATGTTACGGAATATGCTATTGAGAGAGAAACTGGGATGAAGCCTAAGCAAATCATTGAATTTAGTGACCTTGAGGTTTCTGGTGAGTTTATGGACGGCAGTTGTAGTGGTATGTGGTAGCCGAGGCCGTGCAAATGGGTTGAGAAGATAGCGTGAGTGAGAAGACTGAAACGGCAAGCAGATATAACTCCTTTGAGAAGTTTGCCTGTGAAAAGGACAATAGACACTCCATAAATATTTGAGTGACTGAGTGATTACGTTAGGATAAAATTGATGAAAGGAATGGAGATAAAAGAAGAAAGGTAGCAGAATACCTGACTAAGTTGACCAATCATAGCGTGCCAATAGTAGTGAAGGAACACTGATTCCTATAACTCTATTGTGTCTCTCTTAAGACCTACAGCAATTCACTAACTGGCCCCCTGTATTTCTTCTGGCACTGAATTTGATAGATATACTACTGGCAGAGCCTTCAAAAAGTAATCATATCAGAACATACTTTTTGGGAAAAGATGCTATCCCACGAATAATTGTTTCCTGTCTTCTTTTTGTAGGAGATAATTTAATAGTTAACCAGAATGTCATCCATTCATGACAGGACTTTTAAGAGGATATAAGTTTCAGGCTGGCGCCATGGCTCACTAGGCTAATCCTCCGCCTGCGGCGCCAGTGCACCGGGTTCTAGTCCCGGTCGGGGCACCGGATTCTGTCCCAGTTGCCCCTCTTCCAGGCCAGCTCTCTGCTGTGGCCCGGGAGTGCAGTGGAGGATGGCCCAAGTGCTTGGGCCCTGCACCCCATGGGAGACCAGGAGAAGCACCTGGCTCCTGCCTTCGGATCAGCACAGTGCGCTGGCCGCAGTGCACCTGCCAGAGCGGCCATTGTGGGGTGAACAAACAGAAAAGGAAGACCTTTCTTTCTGTCTCTCTCTCTTTTACTGTCCACTCTGCCTGTCAAAGAGACCACAATAAAAAAAGAGGATATAAGTTTCAAACATGATTTCTCCAATAGACCTAAGAAGCTATTTTTTATTCACCCTACAAATGAGTTATTCTATTGAAATTCTCCTCCCCTGTCTTTTAATTCACTACTGAATGAAACTAGCAGTATAAATAAGATGGGAGAAAGCAGTTAACACTTCAAGCTTTTATCGAATGTTTGTAGTATTACTTAAGTAATTTCTTTTTTTTTTAAGATTTATTTATTTATTTGAAAGTTAGAGTTACACAGAGAGAGGAGAGTTAGAGAGAGAAAGGTCTTCCATCTGATGGTTCACTCCCCAATTGGCCGCAACGGCCAGAGCTGCACCATTCTGAAGCCAGGAGCCAGGAGCTTCTTCTGGGTCTCCCTTGCAAGTGCAGGGGCCCAAGGACTTGGGCCATCTTCTAATGCTTTTGCAGGCCACAAAGAGAGCTGGATCGGAAGAGGAGCAGCTGGGTCTTGAACCATGCTGGCTCTTCAGACCAGGGCATTAACCCACTGCACCACAGTGCCAGCCCCTACTTAGGTAATTTCAATAAAAATATCAGATTCATTTGAAAAAAAAAAATTGTTGAATTCCCTGCATCACCTCCTGTCAAGCAGACATATGCATACATTTTATAACCAAGGAAATTTATGGATGACTATCCATGCATTATTGTGGCCTGTTGCATTGTATGGATTTTATTTATTTTTTGCTTTTCAAATACCATTCATTTATGCAGCCAGTAGTTACTGAGAACCAACTGTATATCAGATGCTGTTCCAGGTTCTCAGGATTAGCAGTGAAAAATACAGACGAAAATTTCTCCTTCCTTAGAGCTTACATTCTATTGAGAAACCATAGACAATAAGTAAGAATAATAAATTAAATCATGCTATTTGGATGGTGATAGTACAAAGTAAAAAAAAGAAAATTAGTGAACAGGGATAGGAAATATCAAGGGAGTATAATTTAGCTCATGTGACCAAGGATGGCCTCACTGATACTTGAAGAATGATGGTTAAAAGTGTGGGAGTAGAGGATATAGACACCTGAAGGTGCAGATTTGTGCCTGCAGAAACAGCTGGTATTAAGTGAGAATATATTTGGAATATTCCATGAATAGCTTAGAAGTCAGTGAGGCCGGAGTATAATGAACATGGGGAG